AGTAGTTAATGTTACAATTCAGATATGTATATTTTATTTAAAAATTAGAAAATAATTTTTGATAATTATCAAGGGACCTACGGGGGTCATATCCCCTATCAATCTGAGAAACTTTAAGTGAAACAATAGTAAATTGTTCCTTGTCCCCTAAAAAAATTTGATTGATTACACCGTGACCAATTAATTATGAGTGGATTTTATTTTCATCACCGATCTTTTAATTTTATAATTAAATCACTTGATTATTTAAATAGTGCTTGATGTAGCAATTAATAAAATTGATATAGTTACCATATCGTCATCTGATTCGTGATTAAATTCATTTAATAAAATTAAAATTAGGACCGAATTAATAGAATAATAAGTATTAATGATCAAATGTGTACTTATACCAGTTTGTTAATTGATATGTTAGCAATTCCGTGAAATGTTAATGGCAATTGACTTGGTTGATATTATTTAAATAGTTAAGTGATTCAGTTGTAGAAATAATGTTATCTCTGAAATGTGGGTTCGAACAACTATGTCCGTAAAATATACAAATTATTAATAATTATTTTTTAACATATATCACTTTTTACCAAATCATGCTAATAAAAAAAATCAGCCGCTCAATCTAATCTTCTATTTTATTATTCTTTTTTTGCACAATCGATTTTCTTTTTTTAATCAATGACGGATTTAATAAATTTGACTTTATTGTTTGTGGTTTTCACTTGGTCCTCGTCAAACTTTTGGAAGTTAAAAGAAGTAATAATTATATGAATAGTTAACATATAAAAAATTAATCTTGTTTTTTCGCATGGATTCGGAGTCTATGAGTCTGGATTGGAAGAAGCTATTTGTGGGTTCGAAGGAGCAATCTCTCGATTTCTTTCCCCCGGAGCTTCGAGACGGTGTGGCCACTGTAATTCCTCCGCCTGAGGTGATTGATAAAGGAATTGTGGATTGGAACAACACTTTGATTGGTCAATTTCTCGGTCCTGCTCTAAGTTTTGGATCTATGCAGCGTACCATCGAGACGATTTGGGGCAATTCCTCGCAAGTGAATGTTAGTTTAGCCGGCCCTAATCTCTTTGTTTTTTCATTCCTTGATTGTGAGTTGAAGAAATGGGTTCTGGATAATGGTCCTTGGCACGTCCAGAATAAGCCATTAGTTTTGAGGAAATAACTACCTGGGTCGCAGAAATTGAGCTTCGATCTAACATGCATGCCAATCTGGGTGCAGCTCTATCGGGTTCCATTAGAGCTTTACTCTCATAAGGGTTTAAGTTACATAGCTAGTGCTATTGGTAGGCCTCTGTATATGGACACCATAAGAGCTTCTAAGAAGAGGCTTGAGTTTGCAAAGGTCTGCGTTGAGATAGAAGCTGGAAGTATTATACCTGACACTATTCATGTAGTTTTAAAAGATGGGTCATCTGTGTTTATTAAAGTCTACGTGCCTTGGTTGGCTAAAAGCTGTACAGAATGTAACTCTTTTGGTCACCATGCTCAATCATGTACCGTGGCTAAACAGTCTTTGCAGAAGCCTAAGGAGATTCAAGTTTGGAGGAAAAAGGATATGTATTCTTTGGGTAATGGTAGCAAGGATGTTATTGCAGCAATTGCGTATGCTTCTGAGGTGTTACCTGAAAATTCTAATATTTCTAAAGTAGCCATCAATAGCTGAGCCTCATTCTGCCAACGTTCATAAGGCTACTAAAATGGTGGATCTGCAGGTTGGTACCGTAATTGAGTTATCAGTTAAAGACTTGCAGGAGGGTTGTGGGGTAAATGTGGAGTTGGAGGACTCTGCTAAGCTTTCTCTAACTGGTATTATTCTCCAAAATGAATCAACCTCATATGACTGAGACTGTTCCTGTTAACGATCCTTCACAGGATGTTCACCATGGGGATTTTCCTTCGCTTCAAGACTCTTTAAGAGAAAGACAAAAGGTAGGAAGAATGAGATTGTTGGCTCTTCTAGTAAACTGAAGGTGTGGCTGAAGGTCCTAGAAAAGCTAGAGTTGCTTCCTTGGGGTGGTTGTGTTGCTTAATGAAATAAGTCGAAAAAGAAAGACCATTTTGAGAAAACCAAGAGTGTTATGGTGAATTTGGGTACTGGTGGTGCTGTGCAATCCATCCATTCTTAATGATAATAGGATTTTGGAATATTAGGGGGTTTAAAAACTCCCTTAAACAACTGAAAGTGTTTAGAAGATTAGATAAATATGGTGTGGACGTTATTTGTTTGATGGAGTCTCGTATTAGGAGGGATAATGCTGATAGTTTCTGCTCTGCATTGTCTGTTGATTGGCATTTTGCTGAAAATTATGACTAATTGATGGGGGTCGACTGTGGATTTTTGGAGGAAGCACTTGTTTTTTTCTATACTGAGAAATATGACCAAGCTATTACTATTTGGGGGACAGTTGATGGGCATACGACATTTATAACTGCTGTCTATGGTAACATAGTGGAGCTGCTAGAAGAGGACTTTGGACCACTTAAATTCTGTTGGAAATGATATTGGTTTCTCCTCTTGATCCTTGGAGGGGATTTCAACATCATAACCAAAGCAGAGGAGAACTCTGACTTTGATGTCATGGGTATTCATTGCACCCCAGACATAAAAGATTTTCAAGACTGCTTGGAGAGTCTTGACCTCATGGATCATCTGTTTCTTCGTCCTTTATTCACATGGTCCAATAAACAAGATTTCTATTTAGCGCATAAATTGGATAGGATCTTAGTTAACATCAGTGGTTTTTGATCATCCAGAATCTTTTGCTGAATTTACTGCTCAGGGCGTTTCAGACCATTGTCTCGGGTTATTGTGGACTCATAAAGGGTTTGACCAAGAGGCCTCGACCTTTTAAATTTTTTAATTGTTGGGCTGGCCATGAGCTATTCTTGGCCACTGTTAGAGATTCTTGGCAGGGTTCTTGTGGTGATAATGCCATGGATGGTTTGTTCCTAAAGTTGAGGAGGCTCAAACCTATCCTAAAGAATTTCAATAAGGATATTTTTCTGATATCTCGGGTAGGGTTACCAACAAAAGGGCTGAATTAGAACAGATCCAGATTTTTAATCTGGCTAACCATGATCAGGGATTGGTGACGAGAAGAGGATTCATGCTGAATTAATGGATTTAGAACTGGCAGAATCTGATTTTTACAAACAAAGGCGAAAGCACATTGGCTTAGAGAGGGTGATTTAAATACCAGGTTTTTTCATCAAAGGACTCAGGCCAATAAGAAAAGAATACTATCAGGATCGTCGTAGGTGAGGATGGGCTAAGACACGATTCCTTTGAAGGAATGGCTGCTGAGTTATTGAATTTTTCATTAATCTTATTGGCTCTTGCGATCCTATGGTCAAGGGTTGCTCTACTGAGATTTTGAAGGATTTATTGGGGTATTCCCTGCCTGAGGGAGCAATTCTGTTCTTACCAAGGAGGAGTGATCTGGAGATTAAGGAGGCATTATTCAGACAGGGAAGGATAAAAGCTGGTCCGATGGTTTACATCTGGTTTCTTTAAGGTTGCTTGGGAAATTGTTGGTAATGACTTTATTTATGCTGTGAGGCACTTTTTCATACTTCTTGCTTGCTGTCTGCTTTTAATTCTACAAATTTGGTGTTGATTCCTAAGTCTTAAATGCTTGCTTGGCAAAAGATTTTATACCCATATCTGTTGTTCAGTGGTCTACAAAACTATAACCAGGATTCTTGTAAACAGACTTATTCCATACTTTCCTGGTATGATTTCCCTCAATCAGACAGCTTTTGTCAAGGTAGAAATAGTGGATAACACTCTATTAGCATAGGAAGTGGTTAAAGGTTACTCTAAGAAGAGTTATCTCCTAGATTGCTATCAAAATAGATCTCCAGAAGGCATTTGATTCTGTCAATTGGGAAATTTGTTGTTGTGCTTGGAGCCTTGGGACTTCCTAATAAATTCTGTAATTGGATTAGAGCATACATTACTACACCCATGTATTCTGACAGCCTGGTGGGGTTTTTTAAGGGTGCAAAGGGGGTTAGGCAGGGTGATCCCTTATCACCCTACTTATTTGTCATGGTGATAAATGTTTTGTCATCTCTTTTGAATGCTGCAGCCATGAAGGGAATCTTCGTTTTCACCAAAATGTAAAGAATCAATTAACCCATCTTTGCTTTGCGGATGACCTTCTAGTTTTCTATCATGGGTCCCTTGAGTCTGTGCTTGGTGTTCAAATACTTTAGAAAGTTTTATAAGCTTTCAAGACTTAAGTTGAATGTCTCGAAAACTGAGTTCTTTGCTAGTGGCTTGAATCAAACTACCCTCGATCAAATCCGACTAGCCACTGGGTTTAGAATGGCTCAGCTCCCTGTTAGATATCTGAGTTCTTTGCTAGTGGCTTGAATCAAACTACCCTCGATCAAATCCGACTAGCCACTGGGTTTAGAATGGCTCAGCTCCCTGTTAGATATCTAGGGGTTCCCTTAGTTACCCGCTCATTGGTAAAGACTGCACTGCTCTTCTGGAAAGAATTAAGGACAAATTGAGGCAATGGTCCAACAAAAAACTTAGTTTTGGAGGAAGATTGCAGTTAGTCAAATATGTTCTATCAACATCTTTAATTTTTGGTGTAGGCAGCTTATCATTCCTAAAGGGATTATTAAGGAAGTGGAGAGACTTTGCATGCGTTTTTTTTTTGAAAGGGTGTGACACTCCGGCTAGAGGAGCCCGAGTAGACTGGAGTCAGATTTGCTCCTTGAAGTCTGAGGGTGGGCTGGGACTCAGGGACCTTGCTCTATGGAGTAAATCGTGCTGCCTGATGCTAATTAGGAATATCCTATCTAATGCTGGTTTATTGTGGATAGCTTGGATAAAGGCTTACTGTCTTAAATCAGAAAGTTACTGGGAGGTTGTTAGTAAGCCTCATTACAGCTAGATTTTAAGCAAACTACTGAGACTTCGAGATGATGCGAGGAGATTCTTTGTTCCTGGTATCGATTTGAGCAATCAATGGTAAATGGATTGGGATAGTATTCGAATTAGCAAAGAGAATGTGAGCTGGCACAAGATTATTTGGTTCCCTTCTCATATTCCAAAATTTTCCCTTATCGCGTGGATGGTTACCCTCGATAAGCTGCCAACTAAGGACAGGCTTGTTCCTTTTGGTTTGGATATTGATGATGTATGTATGGTATGTGGTTCTGGCAGGGAATCACATGATCATCTATTTGCTGACTGCCCTTATGTTAAGGATGTTTGGAGTGCTGTTCTACGGCTGTGTGGGATTCGCTGTGTGGATTTCAGTTGGGATCAGCGCCTTAATTGGTTGATCGAGAACTTGAAGGACAAAACCCTTCGCAGTCGGATCCTTAAGCTTGCTTGGACCGGGTTCCTTTATTATATTTGGGAAGAATGCAACCACAGGCAGTTTCGAGGTCTTTCAAGCGCTAGTGAGGTAATTGTAATAGAATAAGGTAGCAGTGAAAACCAAAATGTATAGCCTTAGTACACACAGAGTTGATGATGGCAATAGATACTTGTACACAAATTAGGACTTGATCTAGGTTGAGGCAGGTTGTTTGTAGAAGCTAATGCTTTTTCTTTGGGATGAAATATAATTTACTTATCCAAAAAAAAATTATATGAATAGTTAACACAATGACGATAATGATGATGTTAGTTATGCAACCCCATGTCATCGGCAAAAAGGCAAATAGTCAATAAATAAAAGTTAATCATAATTCCTTTTTAATTTTAAAGGTCAAATGATATTAAATATTGACCATTTAAAACGGATACATATTTAAAAATAAATTATTTACATTATTGTAAAATTAAAGCAGCTATATATTTTTATATCAAATATTAAAATAAGTGAGGGAGACATGTCTTATATGCACATTGTTGCTGTGAATTAGTTGTAGAATAAAGTTGATACATTAGCATTATTATAACCGAATTAAATATATTTGGCAGCGAATACTTAACTTTTTCAAATTAATCTAATAATATATCACCACGTGTATCCTAACTGCTTTGCTTAAAGGAAAAGAACAAATTAGGTCAGTGTAATCGTAGCAACTGCCCCCATGATACGGTAAAACTATAAATAAATTGATACAGTAAAATCTTTTATATACATATTCGATTCGAAGCGTTCAACTTCAAAGTAAATAAAAAAAATTAGGTATTAAGGTGAAAATGACGTATTCTTTCTACTTTTTAGTGGATTAGGTAGGATGTTATCACTCCAATATAATTAATCAACTTGGACTGCATATATATTATCGAAATTTGAATTTTATCACTTGGAGTTATTAGAAAATTAAAGGCTACCTTTTTAAAAAAATAAAATGAAGTATTATATTTGAGTAAAAGGAAACAGGTTAAACAGAGTAAAGGACTGCAAAGCCTACAATTTAGATGGAAAGGAAGGAATTTTAATCTTATCTGGTTAAAAGTTTGATGCTTGTAATTACTGACTATCATTACGAAAACATGAAATTGGCCACACATGTGATTCCCCGGCAAACAGGATAGCCCCCCCCCCCCTCATATTGCATTGTCGGAAAAAGGTTTACTGTCAATGAAGTTGATTTAGGTGGTTGATATTCTAGCATGCATTAAATCCAATCTGTTGAACCGGGCCATTGGGAAAAGCCGAATTAATACGCTGGGTCAAGAGGTAGACCCATAAACTTAAAATTGGCCACACAGGTTGCGGTCTGATCTGCATGGGCAAGAAATAGGTGAAAAGCCTCATTCACCGGGGGTATCCAATTTTATATTTATATAAATTTAGGTAATATCATTTAAACAGGGAAAACTACTCCACTGCCGTGTGTTAGGTAAATCATTTAAAAACACTTCCAATTCAACTTCAAGACACGACCCTCTACCAAAGGTTCCCCAAACCAACTGAATTTTACACATATTACTTGAAAGGAATCGATGAGGGGGGAATGAACTGTTCATGTTGGTGGAGCTTATAATGGCCATAATGTCATTTTCAAGGCAAGGGGGACCCTATGTAGCGCCTTAAGTTGATTAGTTCCACCAAGATAAGGCTGAAACCTGGAAGCCTGGGCTCTGCCATATAATTGGCCCAGAGTGTACATTCTTTTTTCTGGACTAATGGACCTCATCTAATGAATATACTTAGTGTCAACATTTGATTCAGTTGAGTCGAAATAAAAATTTTGAGTACTTTAAGTTGAAGAGTTTTATTTTATAATTCAAAATTAGTTGATCATTTTGAGTTGATTTGAGTTGTTTGAGTTATTTTAACATTAATTCAAATAAAAAAAAAACTCAAAATTTCAAATCAAATCGAATTTTATTCACTACTAAGTATACCACAACAAATTTTTGTGGGATTTAATAAATCGAATGTTCATACTTTTATATATATATATATATATATATATATATATTGTTTTAGTTTCAAAGAATTCTATTTTATGATACATTTTTTCTACCTTCATAAGAGCTTTATTTAATACACGATTATCGGTGATCTTTCAACAGTTTAATCATTGTTGTGGTTCGTTTGTCGATACTGTCAAATTTGTTCTTATATATCTTTTGTTTGACTTTATTGGATGAGTTTCCTTATAAAGTCTAAATGATCTCTAGTAACCAATTTATTGTATCAATAGTTATAAGAAAATATTCTAATTATTATTTAATTTCAACTTTTTTATAGTTTTTTTAATTAATCACTGGCATTAGATTGGGTACTGCAAAGACGAGAGTGACTCACCTAACTCAGTTTGTTTCATCGTAAATGTCAGGGTTCGAACTCCGACTTTACTTAAGGGAATCTAGTGTCTCATTCCACTAGATTAGCCGGTCGTTAGTAACTTCTTTATAATTTTAAATATTCTCTTTTTAATCAAAGTAAAAATTTTATTTATATAAAAGAATGTAAATGACTCATCATTCCGAGATCCCCTTAAAGAAAGGCCATTACGGCCTTGCACCTAATACGCTTGAGAATGAGTTATTCGGTGGAATAAGATGCATTCCAACCAAACCTTTGCTTCAATGTTGAGTGTGGTATTAGGCATGAGTAGCATTGCCATTCAAGGTAACCAAACATGTTATTAAAATATCGGATAGACTACACCATTAATCACGTATTTTCTATTTTAGTTACTGGTTTGTTTTTTTTATATAAAAGTGTTGTTAACATTAATTTTCTTCTTTATTTTGATTAATCACGTCTTATGTATTATGTTTTTGGATCAGTCAAGTTTCGGGAAGTAGTCATAATTAATATATAACTTATTAACTAATTAATATTTTGTTCGTCCCATTGTATTTGTTCTTTATCGGCATTTTGAATCAAACCAACTTGACTGTCACCTTTATTTCTGAAGTAACGAGTTGAATCTTAACCACGTCTATGTTTATAGATTTGATTGTTTTTTTTAATAATTTAGTGTCTAAGTATCTATTTTCAAGATTTTTCATCATTTAACGGTAAAAGTTCAAACACCTTTACAATATTTAATGTTTGAATTTGAAATATCTAGAAATAATAATAACCTCTTAATTTCGTATAATTTTTATATAAATTCACACGTCTATGCAATCATACAATATTATTAATTTGTCAAGATTTTTCATCATTTAACGGTAAAAGTTCAAACACCTTTACAATATTTAATGTTTGAATTTGAAATATCTAGAAATAATAATAACCTCTTTAATTTCGTATAATTTTTTATATAAATTCACACGTCTATGCAATCATACAATATATTATTAATTTGTCGCTCGAACATTCAACTATTCAAGGATTATATTGAGGGGTCAACTACTACCTGTCATTAGTCTAACCAACAATTTTTTATTTTATATAATTTACCCATTAAAAAATCTTGAATATTTATAATTGTAACCTATAATAAATAAAAGTGCGAATACGAAGAAATCTTTGAATTGACGGAAATATCTGTTATGATTCATTATATTATTAAATTGATATTAAAATTAATATTTTAATATACTTATAAATATTCTTTAATAAAAATAATATTAATTAAAAATAGTTTGATTGGACAAAATCATAAAATATTGAAATATATTTTATATTCGTACTAAATTATATTGAGGGTCAATACAATGCAATATTTGTTTAAATATAACTCCCAACCATTTGGTATTGAACACTCACATCTCTTATATTCATGGTACTAAAACTCGAGACATCAAGAAAAAACAACAATTGTTTTTACCACTGAGATTACTTGATTTGTGCATATTAAATTATATTTATTTTTTAGATTGATTACTTAATTAATATTATAAGTTTACAGCAATTAAAACTATTTTTTTGAACATTCAAAGAGATGCAACATCTTTGGGAAATAAAAAAAAAACTTATTGATTCTTGAGGCATTTGAACTTGAAAAAAAACCTTATTGTGGTTCTTGATTTTTTTTTTTTTGCGTTTAATAAAGTTTTTAATTTTGAAAAAATTAATCAATATAAAATTTTGATTAAAGAAAATTGACGTTGATCGTGATGGTTCACAAATTTTATATAGCAGTTCATAACACTGACGTAATAGATATATTTAATTGATTCCTTTATACAATTAGAGGGATTATGTAATATTTAAAGAAATATATGAAATTATTTAAAATTAAAAATATTAAAAAAAATGAATATTTAAAAATAAAAATAGTATTAAAGAAGGAACCAATTTATCTCAGTGATTAGAGAAATCATTATTGTTTATTCATTATTAAATGATTGAGAGTACTTAGAATATATATTACTTTGTAAAATCACCTTTAGCTTAATAAAAATTTAGTATTAAAAATTTTAAAAAAATAATAAATTTAAAATTTAAAATTTAAAAATATTTATAAAGTATTAAAAAATTAACAGTTTCATCATAAAACTCTAACTATTTCTATCAACCTGAGCCTGCCGTTATTATTTAAACATGTTCTTGATGAATAAGTAAAACAACAAATACTTTTTCTTCAAAAGTCTCTTTAAAAACTTTTTCATTCTTTCAAAAAAATTATTTTATTTATGATTTGGAGTGCAATTACCCAGTTGTATTAAAATAAATATATGTTTTAATTATTTTAATTATTTAATTTTTAAAATTTTAATTTTATTCAAATATTAAATAAACCTTCAAAAAATTTATAAGAATAAATTAAATCTATATACCAAATTATCATCCACACATGAATTATGTCAATAACATAAGTCGTCACATAAACACCCTAAGGGGGCGTTTGGATTGAGGTATTTAAGATTCCCGGTAGGAATATTTTTTTTCTAACCAAATATACCCATGTTTGGTTGAGTATCATTTCCCAAGTCAAGGTAATATTTGTTTCCCATCAGTGAATATTCCTGAGAATGTTATTCCCTCACACCCCTTAGGTATTCTTTCATTTCGTGTGTTAAGGGCTAAAATACCCTTGTTTTTCCGTTTCCATCGCGATGTCTTTATATGTCTCTGTCATTTTCGTGATCATTTACCATCCATTTTCGTGTGTTAAGGCCTCTGCAGTCATCGTCCCAAGCGAAACATCACGCCGTTGTCGCCTGTTTGTAGACACCAACATGTATGTCTCTCTTCTCCTGGTAAGATTTATTCCCCTCTCCCTTTCTTCTCCTCTCCCTTTCTTTACAATGTTTTACTTATTTAATTTTTCCAGAAAAATTAGTGTAGTCGATTTAAGTTAACCTTGAGCGATAGTTTCCTTATAATTGTTGTTTTGCTTGGATCCATTCTACCATTTTTTTCATAATCTTGTGCAGTATTTGAGTTTTAATGGAAGATTGAATAGTCTTAAAGAGGGGTTGTAAACTGTAAAGTAAAAGCAAGGATATTTGATAGGGTCCAGTTATATTCATAGTTGAATCAATTAGGGTTCTTCAAAAAAAAAATTAACGCCGAGTTCTTTTCCTTGGTTTTATAATCCAAAATATTTTCCACTCCGTATATCAATTTAATGGCTGTATCGTCCTTCGATTCACTTCTGTTGTCGTCTTTGTTGTTCTGTTTGGATTATTGTTCAGTTTATCGTTTCGTCGATAATGGGTTAATTTCAAAGCTATCTCATTCTTAGATTTTTAGTAGACCTTGTAGTTTCTAACATATTACAACCGAAGGCGGAGAAGTAATCACCGATATAAACGTAGGATTTTTTGTTCCGAAATTCTTTCTTTGCGTAATTTTTGCTAATTAATTTGATTAACGTTTTGCTTTTACCTTCTTTTCTTATATAGTTTATGGGTTATTATCTCTCCAAATTGATATTAATAGTTGCGTTTGAAGAATAAGAATTTTCTATCATTTGTTTTGGGGTGTTTTGGCGTTTATTTATTTATATTTCGTTTAGGGTTTTTTAGCAAATAAAAGGAATATATGAATTTTGCAGGTAAAAATCAGCGTAAGAATAAGATGATGCTAGATAGTGACGATGATAGTAGTAGTGTAAGTTCATCTACCATGCAATCGGATCAATTCTCAGTTTCTGGAACTGAAGAACTCGAATTTAAAAAGGATAGTTTACTTGATGAAGCTGTGGATACTTTGTACGAAAAGAGGTCTGATATTGTTTTTTTTTTGCTATATTAGCTTACTTATGTTTTGGATGAAAATTTGATGAAGAATTGTTTACATTTTTTAGGGAAGAATTGTTTGGTTAGATGAAATTAGTTACGTAGCCATATTTTAGAGATTTCTCAAATTTTTAGAATTATTATAGTTTTGAGTTGGATTTGACTCAATTAGTGTTTTTTCACCTTTGTTGATGAAGGGGTTCTACGCTTGAGAAGGCATTGGCCTCGATTATTGAGGCTTTCAACAGCGACTTGCAGCATCAGTTCGTGGAAAGAAGTGAGTTGCTCTTTTTCCAAGTGTTTCTTAATCTTGGTTTCGATTTATTTTATTGCAAGGATTGCCCAATGTATTAGGACCATGGTTCTATGAGATTTCATGTAGTTTTGATTGGTTGGCGAGAATTCATGAATTGGTTATAAAACATTGGCGCCCGAAGAATTAGAACTATCTCTCATTTAGTGGGATTCATTTGTTAATCAGACTTCAGATTCAATACGTTACATTAGATTGTGATTTTCTATTGCCGAGCAAATTTGCAGTTGTGGTTGCAAATGTTTCTTTGATTTAAAATGTGGTTTGAGTACTTGAATCTATGTGCCTCTAATGGTCATGTTATCTTTTTCCGTTGTTCAGATTGCTACTTACTGCACCAGTGTCTGAATTCTATCAAAAAGGGGTCCAACAAAGAGATATCTTTAGCTTCCCCATGTTATTGGTTACTTTTGAAAGCTTTTGCAGATTCTAATGCATAATGCATGGAAGAGACCACACGAATTAAGTATTCAATCTGATAAATTTCTTTTTGTAGGTTTGGTGGCTTTAACTGTTGGTCCTGGAGATAATGCACGGGAAATATTGGAGGAGTCGATAATGCCTATTTCACAGGCTTCTAAATCTGGTTCTGAATCTTCTAAGATAGCTTCGGTATGCAAGAAGTTCAATTGAGATTTGTTCTACTTCTAGTATTTTGTTGGTACTACAATGCTTAACCAGTTTCTTTTTACCTGATTTCCTGTTATAGTTACTGGAGTGCTTGGCTATTATCACTTTTGTTGGGGGGATCGATCCAGAGGAAACAAAAAAATCAATGCAAATTATGTGGCAATCTGTTCATCCTAAGTTAGGTTCTAATGTAAGTATCCTGATTTTCATTAATTGAAAAACATCGAATAGTGTATTGAGGTTCACTGCATCAGTTATTGTTTTAAATTGTTCTTTTTCTAGTGGGGTGTAGTCTTAAATTCTCTTCATATATATCATGGTTATAAATGTACTTTTGAGTTTAAATATCAGAATAGTAGGTTAAAAAACCTTGTGAGACTTCAATGTTTCCCCAGTATAATGGGATGAGACTGATCAATCTTGGAAAAATATGCAGATCCATAGCATATTTGTCTACTTTGCTAGATAAGGATGACCGATCTTTCCGCATTGCTGCTGGAGAAGCACTGGCAGTAATTTTTGAGATGGGAAGCTTAGAGAAGTTTGTTGCTGAAGCTAAAGGTTCAAATATTGGCTCAATATCTGAAGGAAATAAATCTAAAGAAGGATTCTTACAGATACAAGGACTGAGGGGAAATTCTGAATCAAGTCAGAGACCTCTCTGTGGAAGCTGGTGGTAAAGGTTCTGCCAAGAAAGATCTTAATAACCAGAGGAATTTGTTTAAAGATGTTTTGGAGTTCCTCGAGGTACTAATATTGTTGTCTTTCATGTTCATGACTTGCAATTCTAGGACATCTCATGTTAACTTTTATCATCTTGGTGATGTTAGGATGGTTATTGCCCGGAGACATCAATGAAGATTGGCGGGGATTCATTGCAGACATCAACATGGTCTCAGTTGATTCAGGTTCCTCTTCTTCCTCTTCCTGTTCTTTGGTTTCTTACATTAGTTATATGCCATGAATTCTTATATATAAAACTTCAATGCTACAGCTGAACTTTTTGAGGCACTTTCTTGGTGGAGGTTTCACTAAACACATGCAGGTCGGTCTTCTTTTAGTGAAGTTGATGCTTCTTGGTGCAGTTTGCTTGTATTCTATTTTCCGGTTGATTAAGCTCGACATATTTTGTTTTACTGTGTGCAGGAAAACGAGTTCTTTCGAGTTGTTTTTGGTTTTACTCCGAAAAGGAGGAATCTTCTAGGCAGTGCACATATATCCAACGGTCAAAAGGTCGGTTAGCTTGACCAGAATATTTAATTAACGATGTTAAGTGTTTTGTCTTTGAATGCTTTCTATGATATTCTGATTATAGGTATAAGATTGGTCTATAATTCATTAGGCCATCACTGAGGCATGAACCGCTATATAGTTTTGACAGAATATTTATATTCTAGGTTGACGTATGTGACTAGACTTTCTCGGACATGCGAAATTGATATAGATTTATTGGGATTGTGTGGTACAGAGAATGTTGAAATCACCAAATTCAGTTATCAGCAAAGCAAGAACCCAGATCTTGAACAACCAGCGGATGCAATCTAAGGTAGGTTTTTCTGTGTTTGATGGGGGACATGGATGTAGTGTTTCCCAAACAAAGTTCCTGGTTAATGTTTTTGTTTTTTTTCTTGATATTCAGGATAGGAACTTTGGCACTTTGCTGTAAATGCTGGTGAAGACGACGCATAATCTTCTATATGACAGTGATTTATTGAGATTCAAAACTGATAATGTTAAATTTTTTATTTTATATTATATAGTTTCATTATTGTGTAACGTTGATTGGTTTGTACAAGGCACCAATGAGAAATTTGGATCGGAATTGACATATAATGAATAAGCAGTTTAATCCGCATGATCACTTCTGTAATGATCTAATGATGTATCTATCGAGTTGTGTTTACATAATATTACTAGGATCGTGTTATAATTTATAGATAAAGTATGCAGAATTAAATATAATATAAAAGATAAATAAATAAATTATTGTACATATAAAATATAATAAATATTATATCTTAGATAACAAAAATAATTTACAACTTTTTATTATTATGAATGTCTATGATAAATTATTGTATATAGAAGAATGTAAACCTTGTCGATTGAAAAATACAAGAAACCTTCCAGTGAATGCGTCACGTATGAACCGAAGTTAATTTTCACAATATAAACATTTAATTAAATGTTGATGTAAAATTTTAATATATTTTTACATAAATTATGTAAAATTTAATATTAATTAAAATTAAAATAATACATGATATATTTAAATACTCAAGTAATATATTATCAACAAATATAATTTGTTTATAAATAATTTTTATTTAAATATTTAGAATTTCACTTGTTAAAAAATATAGAACAAGGACAATTTGGTAAAATATACATTTCAGTAATCTTTTATTCCTTTAACCAAACACTGTAATTTTACATTCCTGCCAAACCAACCAAACACAGTAATGTAACATTCCCAGTAATTCTATTTCCTGGTAATCTTTTATTCCCACTGGTAATCTTACATTCAATGAACCAAACGCACCCTAAAGGGGGTGTTTGATTCAAAGATTGTGGGATTCACATGGGATGGGAATCTCACATTCCCTTGTTTGGTTGGTCGGGAATCTCATTCCCGGTAATGTTTTATTACCAATAGTAGATTTTTTGGGTATATTACCGGGAATGTCATTATCTCCCTTCCCTTAGGTATTGTAACATTACTGACGTTTTAGATTAAAATGCCCTTAAATTTTTATTTTTTTTCAAAAATATCATTCTTCTGTCATTGAATAATAAAAATTCTACGAAGATTAAATTACAAAATTTATCCTTAAATTATTTTAGATTTACAAAAAAAAATCTATAATTAAAATTTTATATGAAGTTAAGGGGTTAAATTTTTTTTACCCTTTCATTAAACCTTTTTTATATTTTTAATTTTGTAAAAAAATTATATAAATATTATGAATTTAATTTTTTTAAAGAAAATATATAAATATTTTACAATTTGTAATATTATACAAATATATAATAAGGAAAATTTGGTCAAATATACATTCCAATAATCTTTTATTACTTTAACCAAATACGGTAATCTTACATTCCTGCTAAACCAACCAAACACAAAATACAATATTCCCAAAACCAGACCTGACAAAGTTGCATGTTGTTGAGGTTGATTTTTGTTTGACTTGTAAGCATGACTGACAAAGCGTTTCTCTCGAGATAAACTCTGCGATGATAATCAACAAGCTTGGATGTCAAGAAAGTGACCTTTCAATATTGGTTTTTTATCTACAAGGTGTGCGTGGTTTGTTAGCTAATCATAGTAATTATTGTATTAGTTATTCAGCTAATATGTCTGCTCATATACTCTTACTTCATGTCATTAGAATCATGTGCTTGATTTATAATTTGACTCGATTTATCTCAAAATTATTATATATTTTTTTGATGTATCAAGATTTTAGTTACGTTAATATATCTATATCATTTTCAAAAGAGTAAAAATAAAAATTGAGAACTGACCCACTAGCTTAATAAATTTATTCTTTTAATTCTTAAAAATATACAATATTTAGTTAATAAAATGGTAAAATTACTCTTTGCTTCCTACAAATTTACAATTGAGTTTCGACGACCGAATTCAAAATAGACTGCGGGTGGTATAGCGGGCAACATACTTTGTATCATATGATGCATATTGAATTAAACTACCCAGAAAAAAAAGTTGTTGATATTTACAGTCCATTTGGAGGATAGGTGGCAGGCCGACATGCAGCCAAAACAAAACAGATGAATTTTATTATCAGCTCCGATCAAACATTAAGTAATTTATTTAATGCCACATAAATTTTTTTATTTGATATAATTATATTCGTTTTCAGTGTATTGGTATGTAGTAAGTTAATCCATATTAAACATAAGAGATAAGGATGGATTGAGAGAGTGTTAGAGAATACGGTCACACTTCTAGAATTTTTAATTTTTTATATTTTATACATATTTTTTTTATCTTTTATTAATTATCTAATTTTACATCCCCTGTCATTTTATAATTTCGTACCTCTAAATTTGTAATATAATTTTTTAAGTTCACACCTTTAATATAAATTTTTGCATCTATCCTATCAAAGACAATATTTTTTTAATCGGACTACACTGAACACGTTCTCTTTTAATAAGACATTTGGAAATAGTATACATATAAATATGCTAAAGAGACCTAAAATGAAAAGTTCCAAGAAACTAGCACTTGAAATATTCCACGAAAACTAAGTACAATATGCCCTCTAATTAGGTTTCATTTCATTTGTTTATTGTCCCATTGCCAGCCAGGTCTCAACAGTACCACCATTGATATCATTTATATATTTGATTACCAAAATAAAAGTTTAAATAATTTTTAAAAACCCAATCTCCCATTTGTTAAAAAAGAGAAAAGAAATTAATGTCAGATTAGTAGGTGCTTTTTACTTGATTTGCATGGTAGATGTTAAGAGTTCACGTGCCCCTGCTGTCACAACTTAGTTTATATGCTTGGACCACACTTTTATTATGTCAATGACAATTTATGTATAAATTTTATTAAAACATTAATAATTAAAGATAACATAAGATGCGTTGGCATGAGCTTTAACTTATATAGAGTTTTGTAAATATACAAATTATGTATATGAACTAATGGAGGAATGTGGTTTTAGTTTTCGATTTTGGTTTAGGTTTTATTATATTATAAACTATTAAACTATGTGTTTTTTCTTTTCATATCTAAATTATTTTTTATTACATCAGATATCTATTTTTATCAAATATTAATTTCTGATAGTATGGTTTATCATTTTATGAATGTATATTGTTACTATAAATAATAAAAGTAATGATGAAATTTAAAGTGATTATGAAATATAAATGAGATATTTGATTAGACAAAAAAGTTAGTTTAGTACCTAAACTCAATAAATCCTTCCATTCATTGTTGTGGATAATGGAAAACCTATCTTGTGGAAATGACAGTTCAAATAGTAGTAGGGTTGAAAGAGCCCAGAAAAGGTTTAAGATTTGGGACAAGATGGCAAACACTTGCCATGTGACCCATGTGACTACAGTCTGGGGATTGGGCATGCAATGTGTAAATCCTACTTCCTCCTTTCCCAACTCGCTTATACTGTTCCAACGTGAATGAAGTAAATTAAATTAAGAGGATTGTTTTCTATAATAAATCTTTATAACTTTATATTCAAATTAATTGATTGATAGATCATGTACTTATGATTATAATTTTATTTTATTTTTAGTCTGCCACACATAAGAGAAGTCCACGAACATCCAAGGCAGAGCTCCCGCACTCTGATGTGTGGCCATGGCTCTTCGTAGTCGAGCAATGACTGTCCTCAACATTTGTTTCATTTTTGGTTTTCACTTTATTTCCAAATTTACACCCCAATGTCCTTATCAGTTCCCTTGCCATATCTACAATCTCTAGTCCCAAGCAACCTCCACCCCTTGTGCTCTCTCCCCCTCTCCCTCTTCTTTTGTTTATAATCAAGACAACATCATTTACTTCTTAATTTTTGGGATTCTGCCTCTAATACTCTCCCACCTTCCTTAACCAACTCCACTTTTCTTCATTTCTCTTCTTCTTTTTATTATTATATTTGCATGTTCCTTTCTTCTCTAGGAAAAATATGAGTGGATTGTTTCGATCCAAATCTTGTGGATTCCTCGGAATCACTGAGTTCGGCCATGCTCCTCCGAGTCCCTTCTTCCACCAAGCAAAAACCGGCGACTATGAAGCCACTGACAAAGAAGAAGAGGAACAAGAGTTTGACGACGAAGACGAAGAAGAAAATGGATATGATGGAGATCCCATTGCCACGACGCCGTTTATAAGCCCCAAGTCGAGATTTAGTAGTAGTTCTAGTAGTCAGGGTCAAAGCCGTGATTCAACTTCAAAAGACAATAACCAATTCCAGTTCCAGTTCCCTTTTCTGGACATTTTGGCGGCGTTGTTAAGAAAGTCGCTGGTGACGTGCAGCGTGGATACCGACGACGTGTCTTCCATGGATATTAGCTTGCCGACTGAAGTCAGGCACGTCTCTCACGTGACCTTCGACCGCTTCAATGGTTTCCTAGGCTTGCCTACTGAGCTCCAGCGTGATGTTCCCAGAAAGGTTCCCAGTGCCAGGTTTGGTTCTGAATTTTAATTCAAATTCACGTTCAATTCAGTTTATTTGCATTGCTGATTTACAAATTTGTTCAATTCTCGAATTCATTAAGAAACTTATTAGACTTTTCGCAAATTTTCTTCAATTGCAACTGTTCTTGGAGGTGTATCTGTATGCTTGATTGTTATATCTGACTTAATTCAGTCGTTCTCTTGTTTGTCAAATATGAGGTTTTATGTTTTTGATTAAATCTGTACGAGAAAGGGACATTCCAACTACTTTTGCCATGTTCGATGAGGAAGCTGTTGTTGTTCTGCAATAAATGCTTGATTTCTCGGAAAATTTTAGTCTTTGATTATGATGGAAATTCTACGCTAAAATGATCTTTTTCATTGGGATGTGTGTGCTTTCCCCCCTGTAAGCTTAGTTGTTAATATTCACATTTAAAGGCTAAACTGATCTTTTTCATTGTCCAGTGCAAGTGTTTTTGGAGTTTCTGCCGAATCAATGCAGTGTTCTTATGATGACCGAGGGAACAGTGTGCCAACTATTCTTCTTATGATGCAGAAACGTTTGTATGCAGAAGGAGGCCTTAAGGTTAAGCCTATGCTTTGGTTTAATGACTAAATCCTGTTCTTAATGCTTGAGGTTTTGACGACGATTGGTTATGTTGATTGAAGGCGGAAGGGATATTCCGGATTAACGCCGAGAATAGCCAAGAAGAGTATGTCCGAGACGAGTTAAACAAAGGTGTAGTACCACGCGGAATCAATGTCCATTGTTTGGCTGGTCTGATAAAGGTATAGTTTCTAAATGCCAGAATATCAAGATTATGACATTTTGCTTTCATGCTTGACTATTTTGATATTATATCTCAGTCGGTGCCTGTACTTGGAATCGTTTGCAGGCATGGCTTAGAGAACTTCCTAGCGGAGTACTCGATTCCCTCACATCGGAGCAGGTGATGCACTGCAACACCGAGGATGACTGCGCTGAACTCGTCAAGTTACTTCCTCAAACAGAAGCTGCTCTCCTTGACTGGTCTATCAATTTGATGGCTGATGTTGTGCAGCATGAACAATACAACAAAATGAACGCACGAAACGTCGCTATGGTTTTTGCACCAAACATGACTCAGGTTTTCTTTTACTTTCAGTTCTTGCATTTTGAACACTAATTTCCGTCAAAGTTTAAACCAGAGTCTATCTCTATGTGGTCCAGATGGCTGATCCTCTGACAGCATTGATTCATGCTGTGCAAGTAATGAACTTCCTCAAGACACTGATCTTAAAGACACTTGGTGAAAGGGAGGATTCAGCTGCCATGGACAGGTTGCTGCCATTGTATTCTCCTACCGGCATTATCGACATCCACTCCGCAACCACCACAGACAGTGGGGTATTCGATGAGCAAGTTCCCGGTGCAAGTCCATCTAAGGTAGCTTCCACTGCAAAGCTTTTGCGGGCTGCCACAATGAGTAGACTGGAATGTGTCCCTGAAGAGAAACCATGGACCTCTGGGAGAGGTGAGGGAGAAGAGGAATTAGAGTCCATTTCAGGTAACAGCACACCAAGTGCATGTGAAAATGAATGCAAAGGTTGGCACAATAATAAGGACCGGCTAAGTTTAAGAAAAGGTGTACTGCGGTTATGCAGACACTCGGTGTTTCAGTTGAGTAAGTCCAGTAAGAAGACCCGAAATCTCGGGATTGTAAATACTAGACGACGTGGAGAAGCTTGTGTGTGATACATCACTAGCATTTATCCCAAAATGTTTATATGATCATTTAGGCGATTTCTGCTTGTGTATGCCAAAATTATAGTTTCTAGGTTTTGTTCCAACTCAAAGCTATAGGTTAATGATCTCCCTCTTAGTCTCCTTGTACTATATTTATAATGTGCAATAATAATTTGAACCTAACGTATTAAAAAATTACCATTTTTAAATTTTATTAATAATATTTGTTAATATATTTGATGTAAGTTGTATATATAAACAAACACGTCTATAATTCAATTTATGTGTTTCAAATATGATTTACTACGACATCCAAATTAGTGGTTGAAATAATTTGATAGTAGGATGAGATATTATATTTCTTAAATAAAATCAAAAGTTTGAATCTTTTGATATTTTTAAAGAGAGCAAATCAAGTTAAAAAGGTCTCCTAATAAGAGAGCTCAAAAAGTAGATACCAGGGTCCGCTAGGAGCTTTTCAAAACCAGGTTGAGAAGATGGTTTTTCAACAGGGGTCGAAGATGTCAAGTGAACGAACCTTTCTTCTATAGGGCTTACGACGAGATCGATCTCGCTCCGTAGTTCTTCCTCTCCCCGACGTGGGTCAAAAGGGGGTATGTTAGGCAAGGCTTACAGAAGTACCGAAACAACCACACCACTATCAAAAGAATCCAATCCCGCAAAGGATTGTTCAATCTCTTACACCGGCTTTGGACCTACATAACACTTCCACAGTCACCAACTAATAGTGACTCCTCCAACTCCAACCTAACTGATTCATGAGGCTTGAGGTAGATAAGGTCTTCATCGACCACCGACTTCATATTCATCTTAAGGCTTCAGTTACTTGCATCAACAGGAAAGTCATCAGTCCCCTATTCTTGAACAACCTATCCCCATTCCACTAGTTCTGATGCGTACTGCGCAAGAAGACGACTCTAGCCCGCTGAAAGCTTTGAACATTCTCCTTTCTCGGGTTCCTAGACCAACCTTTTCCACTAAGTGATTGCTTAGGGTACGATCTGGGCTATTTCCCTCTCGACTTTGATCTTAGCACCCCAAAAGTCTGTTTCCATCCCGGGATTGACTTCGTTCACCTACCGACACGAACAGCCGGGCCCGCCGATAACTTGATTTCCAGTTTTCCTAGGCCTACATCCCTTAGTCCACGGATTAGCAAATAAAACCAAAAAGAAGAAATGGCAAGATAAATTAATTGGATATCGATGGAGGAAATAACGATGTGGAAAACAGGGGACTTTTGATCAGGTTGCACCTTTACGGAGGCTGTCAAAACTTTCATCATTACGAAGTTTTGATTTGTCTTCTGCGACGGATCGTTTTCCGCTCGCGGTTCAGGGTGTAATTAAAGAAGCCTTGTCCTTACTACTGCTTTCGCATGGGTCCGCTCGGGCCTCGGTACTAATGTGATGAGACTTTACCACCGTGGAGCGGCTTTTTGCAGGGGGAAGGACTCAGCTCTTTGAAAGCTTTCACCTCGACTAGAAGATAGAAGAAAGAAGCTTAGAAGCAAGCACAGGCCTTACCTTCCGCCTTGTCCTTAGATAGAAGAAGAACAGGAGAAAGAAGAATGGAAATAACCGTAGTTATTTCCGCTCTTGTCGGAATTGCTACAAGAAAGGAGTTCTCACCGGGAAATCTCTTTAGACTTTAGAAAAGAAAAGTCCTAAGCAGCAAGGTCAGTCAATTCTTTCTTTTAGGAAGGCTCCCAAGCAGAACTGGAGGAAAGCGAAAGCGAAAGCGTTAGTCGCGTTCGGAGCGTTCGACCCCCAGATTTGTTACTGTACTGTTCGCGTGGTGTTTTCGGAAAGCTTCTAAGCCATGGATCAATGCATGATGGGCTAAATGTCGTCAACTTGGTATAAAATTGGGCCTTGTCTATTCTATGAAATAAACGGGGTATAGCAACAGTTGGGACGTTATTTTAGTTTCATTACATTTTTTATTAGATAAGTAAAAATAGATGACTAAGATTAACAGTAGAAAATAAAAATATATTCACTGAAAGAAATAAAGAATTAGTCTCAACCATCTATTTTTTTATTCATCAAACGATCCTAAATCTATATAAGATTAAAAAAGTTTTACATTATCTAAGTGAATCTTACACCTATTTTTATTAATATTTATATATTCATTAAATTTAATTAATACTGAATTGGTCGAAATTTTAATTTAAATAGAACATTTTAAATAAAATTCAATGTTAGCTCAAATGATTTGAACTTAGATATTATAGGCAGAATGAATAGTTTAAGTCTCTTAACTTTATTACATTTTAATTATTAATTTTTCAAGTTGACAATGATAACACGAAGCGTAAATAAATATTTAAAAGTCTCTATTGGCTCTAATGAATCTCACTAAGGTTTAGTTATGTATTTGTTTGTATTTTTATTTAATTTCTATGGTTGAATTGACGTGTAACAATAAAACTTATAGTTAGAAGTATAGTCTTATATAAATTCAACATGTGCGAAAAGGTTTGTATTCGATTCTCATACATTCGTTTTTACAAATCTTCAATTCTATCCCTTCAATAAATGGTTTGTATTTTTAATTTTTAGATCAAATCAAACGAGATTCATATCATACTATAACAAAATTTAATAATGAGTTTATCTTTCAATAAGATCTCATATTTGTAGATTCATATCAAACATTTATTAGTGTTTTGCAAATGTGATTGACTAGTATCATTTGAATAACTCTAGGATAATGAATGCTCATACTCTTGTATACACGGTGTTCAAATCCAAGAATCGATACTCCAAAGAATAACAATAAATTCTTTAATCATTAATATCGTTTAATTTGTGTATATTGTCACTGACCACGAATTTGTGGTCGAGGTCGACCCAAAACAGACTACCCATAGGGCCGCAACCAGCACAAGGTAGGCTGCTCCACTGTGGTGCCGAGACTAATACCCACCAAAGTGCGACAGACGCAGTCCAAGAGGCCCACAAGGGACACGCCGAGACCAAGGCACACACAGAGCCGAATAGGGTCAAGACACGCTTGCCCCAAACTACTCACAAGCACGACCATCAAACAAAAAGGGTCGTCTAGGGTCGTGACCACCGCACACCAAGGTGCACCTAGAGCCAAGGCCAACGCAAGACAATGTCAGCTGAGGGCTCTAGCCAGTAAGCAACGGGACGCACTCGGAGTTGGGGCCAACGCACATCAGGTGTGCACCTAGAATTGAGATGAACGCAAAAAGGGGGCCACTTAACGACGAGGGCAGCACACCTCGGGGGCACACAGGGTCGAGGCATGCACACACCGAGGGTGCACTAAGGACCGAGGCCAGCACCGACTTAGGTCCTGTCCACCAAGCAAAGCCGGCTATCCTTTGGAAAATAAAGCCAAGTAACATAGTCATTGTTTGAATAGGACTCAAACAAGGAGTTTCAACTAAAGTAAAGAGTTTTTCTTGTAGTTAGACTAGGAGTAGTCATGAGTGTTGCGGAAGACGGCTATCGAATAGAGAAAAATCGCAACTGATAATTTGAGAAAATAAAAATGAAGATAAAAGAGACACAAAATTTACGTGGAAAACCCCTAAATAATATAGGGTAAAAACCACGGGCAATGGTAGAATAATTTCACTATGAGAAAAATAGGAATTACAACCTCTCTCGATCTACCAAGGAGAAAACAATGATAATTTTCTCTTGATAAAAAGGAGAAAACAACTCTCAAGAAACTCTCTAAATTCTCTCTAGTATTGGAAGAAAGCTAGAATGCTTTGGGATGGTTTTGAAGCTAAATGAGCTAGGGTATTTATAGTTGAAGCTTTAAGGACTAATTTGTAAATACCCTAAATTACAATGACTAATTGCATAGTTTTACCATCCATATTTTCAACATTTTAGGTGGAATTGTTTTTCAATCCAAACTTTCGGTGCCTAACAATTTTTTTTCAATAATTTGCACCAAATAGTTTGGCCATCAATTTGGCCACTTATCTTGACTTTTCAATAATCTCCCACTTGAAGATTTGATTGGAACAATCATATCTTCACACCATTCTTTCTACCTTGTACCTTCATGTTGCTTACGTCTCTGACAGGCCACAGGAGGATCGACACCAAGTAAATTTATCGGCATTTATCGCCTTCGTCATGAAATCTTCTATGTTGTCTTTGGTATGGATCTTCTGCATATCTACCATCACTTCTTCCACCTTTTCACGAATGAAATGGTATTGAACTCGTATGTGCTTTGTCCTTGAATGAAATGTTGGATTCCTTGCTAGATGCAAGGCGCTTTGAGTGTCACAAAACAGAGAGACATACTATTGATTGTGCCCAAGCTCCTCCAATAGCATTTTCAACCAAATTGCTTCTTTATTGGCTTGTGTAGCTGCTACATATTCTGCTTCTGTTGTGGATGTAGCCACAACTGACTGCAATTTTGAAACCCAGCTTACAGCTCCACCAGCAACTTTGAACACATATCATGTAGTAGATTTGCTTTTATCTAAATCCCCCTATATAGTCAGAATCGACATACCCATTTATAAGTAAGTTTTATCCTCCGTAACATAATGTAACATTTGAGGTCCATTTGATGTATCTAAGGATCCTCTTTACTGTATTCCAATGCTCTTTGCCTGGATTCGCCATGTACCGACTAACCACTCCCACTGCTTGTGCAATGTCTGGTCTTGTCCATATCATAGCGAACATTAAACTTCCCACTACTGATGCATACGGTACTCGAGACATCTCTATCCTCTCTTCTTCACTGCTAGAACTCATACTGGAAGATAATTTGAAGTTAATAGGAAGAGGGGTAAAAAATTGGCCTACAATCTTGCATGTTGAATCGTGACAAGATCTTCTTTAAGTAATTTTTTTGTTAAAGTCAAATCTTCCTATTACTTCTGTCTCGGTGAATTTGCATCCCTAGAATCTTGTTTGCTGATCCCAAGTCCTTCATTTCAAATTCCCTAGCCAGTTATGCCTTCAATTCTTCAATATGATCTTGTTGGGTCCTGCAACCAACATCATCA